TTCTCTATCTAAATTATTAAAATTCAATTATACCAATTGATTTTCATCATTTGTCTAAATTATTTGAATTTTATTGAAAATTTGTTATCTTCTGTTGGAGCTAGAAAATGTGGTGTACATATTATCAATCGTAAAATAGCGTACACTTATGGTAGTAATTCACAATCTTTCCGTTATTCTTAATTTTGTTTTATTATTCCCCATGTTAGAATTCAGATAATACACTATTATTCTCTACTCTCGACTAGAGACATAAGATTAAAAAATTGATATAAATCTAGATCGATTTTTAGATAATATATTAAGGAGAAATAAAAAATTAAATTTCAAGAATGAGGAAAAAGATACTCTTCGATACTGTGTGACTATTATTGAAGCATATCACCTTCAAGTGAATACTATTTTATCAGAAAAATTAGACACATGTCTTTCTCGTTCGTCTATGTCAAATATGGCATATTAAAAATTATATACCAAGATGAATCTTAAAATTGATTGTAATGACGTTGATGCACCTGTTAGACAGATTAATTATAAGAACACAGAGTGAGTAAGTAAGAAAAGGAGAGATAGAGAAAAAAAATTTTTCACTAAATTATAAAATAATGATGATTAAGATTTAATAGCACATCGTTGATTAATGATGTAATTCAGATATGACACGCAGACATTTCATTTATAATTGGAGAAGATAGAAGAAGAAAGAAGAAGAAGAAGGAAAAAGTCACTGTGGAAAAATAAACATTTCTATATATTGTATTCGATCTGTACAAAAGGTTAACCTTGACTAGTAGTGGAATTTATGTACGCATATTTTAGCATGATTATTGACAATACGGTGTTTTAAATTAACAGATAAATGTTAGAGAAAAAGAGAAGAACATTAAAATTTTTGTTCACTATTCACAAAATGAAAAGAATGTTGGTTGTGTATTTGTTTTTAATTAACACCATTTTGTGAGAAGAAATATGATCATATTTTACTGCTGTATATATCTTCTAAAGAGGAAAGGTGATGCATATATAATCTATCAAATAATTTAATAAAAGAAACTAGGACCATAAATAAATCGATTTTTTATACAAATGGTATATAAAGAAACATTTAAATAAACGATTTAATGTCGAAAATGTTTTTTTTTTGTTTTTTCAATATTCTCATTGAATTTATATCAAATACCATTGAATGAAGAGAACTTCATTGGATGTTTTATCGATGCTGTAATAAATGATTGAGTGGAAAATGTTTCGAAGATTGTTATTAGTACATGTAGATGGGATATCTGTCAGACACGAAGTTTCTAAGAATTAAATATTTTTCTAATTTTAACTGGTGTGATTCAGTTCTTCTTCAGATTAAGTGTTTTTTAACACCCATTTATTGTTTCAGATGATGAAAAACGATAAGATTCGAAGTATCATGTCTTTCAATACCCTGGTCTCACTCATAAACGTAGATAAAAAACCTCTAAAGCTCTACTGTAGACTGCATTATAATCTTTGTTTTTGATTATATATTGTTTTAATATATAAGAAAGCTGTAAGTATTAGTGTAGAAGATTCGACTTGTTCGATTACTGTCAATGAAAGACAAACCGAATATTATGCTAAATAGTGAATTACAAACAATCATTTAACAACTAGAAAAGTTCTCATTCTTGCGATGTAGCCATTTCATTCTGACGTAAATTTATGATCAAAAAAATGTTGTGTAACAAAAAATAGAAAAAAAAGTTGATTTTATTACTATGTTCTCATAGATAAAACACCGTGTTTGTTGTTGATTTCACACATTTTTCGTTTTTTTCTAAACTGTGAATGTGTTGTATGTGTTATATGGTATGTCTGATGTTTAAATTAGTCGGTAATCGTACACTTAATCCAAAGAGAGTTTTATCGCCCATATGTACAAGAGAATCAACATTTCTTATTAATCGCTTTATAAATCTGAAAAAATCTTTTATCATATCATTTAATCAAAAAATCTGATTATATATCTATAATCCTTAACATTTTCGTGAATTGATACTCACTTTTAAGTAAGATGTGCATGTAAACATACAGAAAATAGAAAAATATAAGAGAGAGAGAGAGAGAGAGAGAGGGAGAGATATTTTATTTGCATAAAAGACTAAAATTAGTTTTAAAAAAGAAAGAGATTTTATCTAGATAAAGTTTTATCAATTCCCAAAACAGTTGTGTTTTTCAACTTATGCTATTGTGTACTTATGACTGTTTGTCAAGAAAAACTAAACTGAACCGATATCTTAAATATAACAAAGAATAGATTCTAATTTCGTGAACAGGTAAACCGAGGATTCTATAGGGTGAACTTCAAACAGTCAAAAAGTATCTAATCATAAAACTAGTATGCATATAAAATTCATTTTTCTTCAGAGAAGAAATTCTTCTCTCTCAGTTTAATTTCAAGGTTGATTAAATGGAGTAATCAACTTTGTTCACTAGTTATTTGATCGCACTTAGTGTGCAAGATATGTTTAAAATGATCACTTTTTTTCTAAATATTATCATTACACTAGTCAATCTAATGTCAAAAAAATTAATTTTTTGATTCATAAGTTTCAAATGATATTTTTAATTTCTTCATGAGTATAAATTATTCATTGAACATAATCGTTTATACATACATATCATTTATATAATGATATATTTGACTATTAACCTTTTTAAATTTTTTTGTGAAAAAATTTTTTTTTCAATTGTCTTAATTTTAGTTATTTGAGTTAAGTAGTATAATAAAAGTCACACAGAGATAATAACAATAAAGAGAGACATCCTTGAGTAGAAAATAAAAATGTTAAAAGACAGATATCAGTATATATTTATATTAGTTCAATTGATTCAAGCATAATTTTAAATTCTCGAACTAAATGTTGAAAAATTTCAAATAAAGAAATTTATATCGAGATCAGTTTTTATTCATTGAATCTCCATTTGAATCACGCGTTACTTCTCAAATCATTTTCAAACATATTAAAATATTAATTTATTTACCGTAAGTCCCATTAAACTAGTATTAATCTAATCAATTCTTTTAGAATATTTGTGAATCTTTCCGATTCTTAGCAAACACTACAATATCTTCAAGAATCTTCTAAAACCTTCTGATATCGCATAGAGCTTCTACATTCTGCTAAAATTTCGAACGTCAGCTATCAGATAAGTACTCTTATAATAGTCAAAATCCAATTGAAATGTGATCATCACTTCAAATATATATCTGGTAGTGCTATGAAAAAGAGGAAGGTTAGATCCATAGTGAATTCGTGTGTTTTTTTTTTGTTGACTTCTTGAATGTTTTGATTATTCAAAAATAAAACAGAACTGACTGATATATATTTTTTTTCAATCTTTAATCTCTATTTGATATTATGCGACATTTGCTGTTACCGTTGTTGTCATGTTTGTGTGATGTGTTAATCTTCGTAATCGTTTGATCTGTGAGTATTCCTGATTTGGTTCAATAACGATGAATTAAAAAAATGCAAATTTTTTTTTTCTCATTTCGATTCAATTGAACCTTTGAAGCGTCTGTAACAGAATAATATTACATCTGATGTTCGTTTTTGTTTTTTGTTTGATTGTTTGGTGTCATCATATCCACTGTTATTGTTTTATAATACAATTGAAACAATTGTCGATGTTTTCATGAAGATGGTGCCATTCACTTCGAGGAGATTATATAAATGAAATTGAACAACATTGATTTTTCACTCTCTCTCTCTCTCTCTTTCTCCTTCTCTCTATTTTTACAATATACATATCAAATTTTGACAAGTTAAACGTGTATATTCTGGTGAGTATCTTACTGATACTTAATAAGAAAATTATACCGAACTGTAAACCTATTGTTGTCAAATGAATAACTAACATATGTTTACTATTATTGTAATCGCGTGTATAATGAAGAAGCGAGTCTGTCACTATTGAAGAATGAGAACATTCGTTTAAAACAAACAAACATATGAGATTGTTTACGCATGAAAAAATGATTAACTGACTCATTAGGTTAACTTCAGATATATTGAAAAAAGCTGAATTATCACCGTTGACAACGTGAGCTGTGGCGTTCCAATGAGATGAAGAAGCCTGTCAGATATTATGATAAAAGTCGATAGAAGAAGATTTTAATTAGTATTAAAAAGCATATTTACAATAAATTTAACATCGACATATCGAAATTCATATCCATTATGGTCCGAATTTCTTAAAAATTTATTAATTATCAATACAGTATGAAATTCGATACGCTATCGTTTGGACAATGCGTTCATCTCCATCTTACAAAAAAATTTATATATAATTTAGTGTTTAAAATATGAACTAGACTATTTTATTTCGCTTGTGATATTTAATTTTAGAAAATGGATAACAAAAGATAATAGACTAAAAATCTTTGTTTTTTGCTAAAAGTGCTAAATTTCAGAAAATAGAAATAGAGTAAAGTGTCTACGTGGAACTGAAAACAGATTTGTCTAACTGGAAGTTTGAATCGATTTTCACTGAATTTGGGACTTTTGTAGCTGATAGTCTCAGCTATTAAATGATCTAAAAATGATTCCAAAATTTATTTAATTAATTTTTTCACAAAAAACAGATCTCAGAAAGGTTTACTAAGGCGGGGATCATTTTGGTTCTAATTAGACACTTTGTTCTACTGTACTTAGTTAAACTATTTAGTTTTTGAACCAGCCGTCATGATCTTTCCAATGTAAATTTTTCATTAATAATCAATCCTATTACATAAGGCAGAAATATTCTTTTATTCACTAATTTGACATGGTATTCTTTCACTAGGCACCGACAAGTCTATTTAGTGAGATAAACTGTTTTAGATATTACAATAAGACTGTATTTCTTTTTCTTTTATTATCAGTCACACATACCTGGACCATATTGATTGATGATTGTTCTCTGTTACTTTTTTTTTTGAAATTTTAGAACAACAATCACAACGAGAGAGATGAACTTCGTAGAACATGAAATCAATTAGATCGATTATATGTTATTTAACATTTGTACAGTATGCACATTTAATTACTCCTCTGTGGTGGTAAATTATTTAAGATTCTTACTTATCTCTCAATGAATCATACTGATATCATTTATTTTCAGGAATATTGGTTTGCAGCAACAGCAAAAATCTCCAATTATATTGAATCCCTATTTAAATTCTGATGAACAACAAGAACAACAGCTACAAACCGACGAATTTCTAGATGACCCTTCACAATACTGTTCAGCATGGACTGGACTAAGTATCGGTCAAAAACAAATATGTTTACTTCATGCAGATCATATGCCAATTATCAGTCAAGGTACAGCAAAAGGTATTCAAGAATGTCAATTTCAATTTCAAGATAGACATTGGAATTGTTCAATTTTACATGATGGAACTGTGTTTGGTCGAGTTTTAAAACAAGGTATGTTACTGTAATAAATATGAAACGTACTGAAAAACTATTCTCTTTTTCTCTTAAGCAAATCGTGAAACAGCATTTGCTAATGCCATCTTCTCAGCAAGCGTCACGTACGCTGTATCGCGTGCTTGTAAACAAGGCCTATTAAAATCGTGTACATGTAGTAGAAAATCGAGACCAAAAAGTTTACCCAGAGATTGGTCTTGGGGCGGGTAAATAATAAAAACAGGTTAAATTCACTGTATTTTTTATCTTTTATTTTCTTCTCAAGATGTGGCGATAACATTGATTATGGTTATCGGTTTTCCCGTGATTTTGTTGATACACCAGAGAATGAAATTAAACTAGATACGCCATCAGTTTCTCCAATTCTACTCGATGCGATGAATAATGTAGAATTACCTAATGAATATTCGATAATTAATCCTGTCAACGATCATTTATTATTGAGTAAAAGACGAGAAATGAAACGTCGAAGAATACGTCGACAAATGAATCTACATAATAATGAAGCAGGGCGAAGAGTAATTTGTTTAGATATGACTTTCTTGCTTGAAATATTCTAAATTTATTATTCATTTAGGCTGTCTATCGTTTAACACGTGTCGTGTGTAAATGTCACGGTGTATCAGGATCATGTTCTTTGCGTACGTGTTATCAACAATTGCCAACATTTCGTGAAATTGCTACATTTCTTAAAGAGAAGTATGATAGTGCCGTGGAGGTACGTTTTAGTGGAAATACTAGTAATAAAAATCGACAACAACCACAAATTCGCACACGCGATCGACGTTTTGCCGGACCAACCAAAGATGATCTTATCTACGTTCATGAATCAAATTTTTGTGATTATAATCCGAGAGTTGGTTCGTTTGGAACAAAAGATCGCCTATGTAATAAAACATCGTATGGTTCCGATAGTTGTAAATCAATGTGCTGTGGACGTGGATATAATACTATAAGAAAATATGTACAAGAGAAATGTAATTGTAAATTCGTTTGGTGTTGTTCAGTCCAGTGTTTAACATGCACCAAGCTAATTGAAATACAAGTTTGTAAATAGTTTACTCTTCATATTTTCTAAGCATCTCTCTCTCTTTCTCTTTCTTTTTTTCTGGTCATTGTATTTTTGCTATTTCGTATATATTTAATTATTTTTGTTTTTTTTAATCCAAATATGTAATTGTTATGTTAAAAAAAATGAATCTCATGAATTACTGGCACCTGTATGAAAAGAAAGAAAATACTCTTGCTTAAATATGCCCTATTTTGTCGTTTTGTTACGTGTAAATGATTGATATCAATTATCACACATAGTAATTCAACATCAACATCAACTTTTACTTTATTTATAGTAACGGGTGGCGCAGAATAAAACGGACTATTTTGTTTCCTCTATAACTCTGTCAGTTTAAATCTGATCGGGCCAATTTTTTCCCATCAGAATCGTCATTCAATTCTCTACAAAACCATGTGTAAAAGATTTTTGTAAAGTACAAAATGGCTAAGTTCTAAAACAAAGAAAAGAGATCCGAAAATCTTCAACTTTCCAGCTCAAAATGCATTAACATTTGGAGTATGTTTCGACAGTTTACGCGCAGGCTTAAATTAAGGGAGAAACATTTGCTAGCATTTTGAAATACGCTCTTTCCGATATCCTTGAAAATATTTTGTTTGAAAGCGGCCTTCACCTATTAAATCGATATTTTCCGAAAACTCGTCCAAAACGCCTTAATTTGGGTTTTCACGAAAACCTACCGCAAGCAAAACTTTGCTTGACTCGAACGAGTGTACAGGGATGTAGTCGAGTGTACTAGCTTTCAAAGAAAACAAAGTCGTCAAAAAGTAACACTTTTTTACTGAATGGCATGCGTTTTCGTGCAGGCATCCAAAACATGAAATGAAAGTAGAGTTTTTTCGAAAAAGCGAAAACATTTTATGCTAAATTTTTTACTCATTTTTTGATCAAAAAAATTCTCAAAGACATGAATCTTGGCCAGAATTTGATGCTCTCTAACATGGTCGACTTAGTTTTTTC